GAAAAATGTTTTGAAAAGGAAAGCGGGCAATTGGCACACACCGATTATTTCTGCCTGCAAAGCCCTGAATGCCAGCGGGGAGACGGCAAAAGAAAAGGAGCACGAGCGGGCGAATTCTCAATCGGGGCCGGGCATTAAGGCGAGGAATTATTCCACAAACAACCTGACCTCGCTTTTTCCTGCCGGAATGCAATTCCCCCAGCGGGAGATCTCCTCCCCTCCGCAGCCTTTTTGCCATTTTTTAAGCACCACCACTCCTCCCCAAAGCGGTTTTGTTTTTTTGCTGATTTCAGGAGCATCACCCAGATCTCCAGTCAGAATTCTCTTTTTTCTTTTTCCTAATGAACACAACTTGGAAATGGCATGAGAAATGTGGCGTTCCAAGCAATCAACAGGGGGAAAAAATGATGTTTTTTTAGAGCAGCAATTTTTCCAATTGAGGTGTAAAATGGTGTTTTTATCCCGTTTCTTGCCAGAACTATGGAGATGGGACTCACTACGACCACATGGCCAGCAGAGACCTCGCCTCACACGACAATCTCTCTCCTCCCTTTGCCAATTCCAGAATACAAAGTAAGAACACGGAATTTCCTCCCTCGCTGGGGTGGGGGAATTGGGAGCGATGGATTGGGAATAAAATCCCGGGGTCTTCAATTCCTTAGTTTCATTTTTTTTGAGGGATTTGTTGCAATTTTCCATGCCGTGATATTTAGCATTTTAGCTCCATTTTCCTGATATTTTATGGATGTTTTGGATCTCTACCTGTGGATTCGCCATGGAAACCCTAATGAAATAAATCCCAAAAGGAGCAGAGAAACCAAAGGTGAGGGAACATTGGGAATGTTGTTTGGAGTGGAAGGGAGATCTCCATGGAGATCTTTTCCAGCTGGAACGATCCCGGGATTCTGCGCTAGAGTTTGATAAAGTCAATAAATGATGTCAGAATAGTGGCCAGGCTCCATCCAGGAGCAAAGCAAACTCTTCCCTTCAAAGATTCCAAGGAAAACACGGAGCTGTGGCTGCCACACATCCCTCATCCCTGGCACTTGTGGCGGTTTGAGAAAGGTGGGAGAAGCCAAGGAAAGCACGGAAATGCCAACTGTCCCTGCACTGCAGGGAATCCATCAAAGCACAGCTGGGCTCCAGCAAATCCATCCAATGTCATGGGGGTGGGGTGGGGGCCTGGGCTGGGACATCATGGGGCCGTGTGGGAATGGCAATGGATGTGGCAATGGAAATGGATGTGGCAATGGGAATGGCAATGGGAATGGCAATGGAATGGGAATGGCAATGGGAATGGGAATGGGAATGGCAATGGATGTGGCAATGGGAATGGATGTGGCAATGGGAATGGCAATGGGAATGGATGTGGCAATGGAATGGCAATGGGAATGGGAATGGCAATGGAAATGGGAATGGCAATGGGAATGGGAATGGCAATGGGATGGCAATGGCAATGGGAATGGCAATGGAATGGCAATGGGAATGGCAATGGCAGTGACAATGGCAGTGGCAATGGTAATGGCAATGGCAATGGCAATGGGAATGGCAATGGGAATGGGAATGGCAATGGCAATGACAATGGCAATAGGAATTGCAGTGGGAATGGCAATGGCAAATCCAGTGACAATGGCAATGGGAATGGGCAGTGACAATGGGAATGGCAATGGGAATGGCAATGACAATGGAAATGGGAATGCCAATGGCAGTGACAATGGCAGTGGCAATGGTGGTGGCCATGGCAATGGCAATGGGAATAGGAATGGCAGTGACAATGGGAATGGGAATGCCAATGGCAGTGGCAATGGTGGCCATGGCAATGGCA